GTAAAAGAAGGTTGTAACTGACCCCCTCCTCAGGTGGAAGGTCAGGACCTCAAAGGTGGTGACATCAATAGTTAAAAAAAATGATACCTTAAATCAGCAGTATCACTAAAACAATAACAAGATTAAGGTAAATCAGTAAAATGTAAGTTGATGACAAAGAGAGGAACTATTTGTTTAGAAGCACTATTGATTTGAAGTAAATTATTCTGAATGGCAAAATGGAAATAGGAGAAAAGCTAAGATGTGAAATAGTTGAGGCCCAACATGCCATTTTAGTAGAGGAAAATAAAGTAAATAAATGACAACCTGAATCACAAGGCTCCCGACTGAACATTTATTAAGTAAAAGAAAGTTCAGATGATAAAACCCTAGGGCTTTATCTAAGAACATAGATAGGGATTTGATCACTTTATGGGGATCAACCTCCTTTTGATCGTTTTGAGGGGATCAACCTCCAAGTTGGCCAAAGGCTTTGAGTTGCATTTGATTGGTTAAAAAAAATTGTCAAAGGCATTACATATATATAGAGTTATTTAATTCTTAGCCAACTAGGATTAAGATTTTTAACAAAAATAAAAATAGCAATTCCTAATTTGCTATATCAAAGGACTCCTAACATAATGAGGAAAAACTCAAAAAATCCTACCATAATTAGAAAAAACTAAATAGGAAAATAAATATTAATATCAAATCCCTAAAATTAAGGACTCCTAAAATTAAGGAATCTTAACATTTCCTGCCTCTTCAAAACAGGTTTGTCCTCGAGGTTCAGCAGCAACGAATTCTGAAAATTTCTTCAATGTTTTATAAGACTCCTAAGTGGTATTTTTAATTGGTAATTTGGCTCATTAAACAAGCACCTTGTCATTGAACAAGCATCTTAGTGTCAAGATATCTATGGCGCATCACAACACATCGATATAAGGCGTCGACTTAGTAACTACATGAACAGTATCTAACATCTCCTTCTCATAAACAAATGAGCTTAGATGAGATGGGGAAAGTGCCTTAGTAGTATAAGCGATTGGACGATCTTCTTCCATCAGTACAGTTTCCATACCCGCTCCAGAAGCATCAGATTTAATCACGAATAACTTGTTAAAATTTAGTATAGTGAGAACTAGTGTAGTAATTGTATACTTAAGAGAAATAGAAGCTTGAGTGGCTTCTTCTATTCACTTAAATGCATCTTTCTTCAAAAGTGATATTAAAGGAGCATTGATTTTGCCATAGTTATTCAATAATAGTAAGAAGAAATCCACAAGCGACTCTTGGCCCTGCATAACAAGCTTCACTTTAGAACACTTACTATCACAAGTTAAAATTCGCCCATCAACAACATTCACCTCAAACTTATCAAAACGTTCAATGCGATAGGCCAATTGCACAGGAACCTTGCTATCCATAAAATTATTGGTGCTACTAGTATCAATCAAAACAGTAACAGACTGATGTTTCAAAGCCCTTTAACTTTCATAGTTTGAGATAGCCAGCTAATGTATGAATTATATGTGTAACAGGTTCAACAATCTCATCATTATTAGTACCTTCATGATTAGAGTCTACAACCTCAATCTTTAGTTCCTCCTCAATTGGTTCAATCATCAAAAGTTTTCATTGCTTGCATCGATGCTCCCTACTCCACTTTTCATCACAATGCCAGCACAATCCCTTTGCTGATCGTTCTTTGAGTGCCTCTTGGGTTAGTCTTCTAGTATTAGGATTTCAATTAAGAATGGTTGGGGTAGTTGACTTGCTAGTCACATGTTTATTAACACTCCTGGTTCAACGATTTTCCATGTTAATTTTTTCTTCATACAATCGTGCAAAAGAAATTACAATTATTATAGTGCGAGATTGGTGAGCCTTAACTTTACAACGAATGTCTGAATTATAACCTCCAATGAATGTTCCCACCAATTATTTTTCAGACCAATCTTTAGCCTGATTTGATAGTCGTTTAAATTGACTTTGATACTATAACATAGTAGAAGTCTAGCGAATTTTGGCAAGTTGCCCACCAACATTCTCATATTCGGATAGTCTAAAATGAACAAAAGTCCTTTCTTGAACTGCTCTCATGAGGGAACTCTATGATAGGTTTCATACCAATCATATCATTGAATATTATTCTCATATAATTGGATTGAAGCTATTTCCACTTTAGAATCTTTTGGAGTTTTATGAAAGTGAAAAAATTTCTTTGCTCTAGAAATTCAACTGTTTGGATCTCTATCTTCCCATCTACGAAATTCTACTTTCATGCGAGGGTAGTTATTATCATGCTTTTGGTAACCTCTTCCTATGACTTCAAATCGGTCAAGTTATTTACTAGCAGAAGTCGAACTTCCATCTTGTTGATTTTTGCTAAAACTCTCAAGCAAACTCTTTTTTAAATTATTAAGAGTTTCTTGCAACGTGCTCTCAATTTTTGCTTCCAAGACTTCAAATTGGGCTTTCATAGAATTGTCAATAGTCATTTCGTATAATTGTATGTTTGCAATTCCTAAGTTTTGTTTTTGATTTCGGGTCAAGGGCATGAGCAGTGCTTACTTGGGGTTGAAGGTGAAGTCGTCGTTGGCGGCGTGGGCGTTGGGGCCTGTGGCAGCATTGGAGAGGAGATCGAGGAAACGTCGAGGAAACACCGCAAGAACTTTAGGAACGTCGAGAAAACACCACAAGAACTTTAGGAATGTTGCTCTGATAATAGATGATAAAACCCTAGGGTTTTATCTAAGAAAATAGATAGGGATTTGATCGCTTCGAGGGGATCAACCTCCAAGTTGGCCAAAGACTTTGAGTTATTTGATTGCTTGAGAAAAATAACCAAAGGCATCACATATATAGAGAGTTATTTAATCCTTAGCCAACTAGGACTAGGATTTCTAATAAAAATAAAAATAGCAATTCCTAATTTGCTATATCAAAGGACTCCTAACATAATTAGGAAAAACTCAAAAAATCCTACCATAACTAGAAAAAACTAAATAGGAAAATAAAGATTAATATCAAATCCTTAAAATTAAGGAATCCATGTTAGACTTCAGAGAACCATATTTGTTGAAGATTATGTATCAGATTATTTAGTAAAATGCCAAAGTGGGTGTGCCATACTGGGCTTCTTATTTTCCAAGATCTTCCATGGGAGTAGCAAATGGCAATCTGGGGTGAGGGAGAAGGGACAGTGGTAGCATTCCTGAGGGATATGGGGCTTGCCTTCAGATGACACAGGGTTAAGGGTTACAGTTATTTGCTGGGGTTGGTTCTGCTATGAAGTATGAACCAGACCTGGTTTTCTATGGTAAATAATGCTTCACTCTGGGTTGAAAGTGTGGCTTGGTTGGTTTGACTAACCAAGCCACACTTTATTCATCCATTTTTTTCTGCTTTGGTCAGTTCAGTTACATTAATTTACTGGTTTCTTCTGAATCAGTTTGGGGTCACTTCACTGTCCAAAAGTTTGAATTTACTGTAAACCATTGCTAAATCTTGGTGTAGTTCGACTTCATTTATTGCTCAGGCTAGTCACCAATTGTCACTAATGTTGAACTTACTCTTCTCCAGCCACTTGTACTATTAAACTTTTTGTTTATCTATACAATTCGATTTGTCCAATTACTTGTGATAATGAATGCTGTCTCATAATACCTTGAAATTTCTGCAGGGATATGATATTAGTTTTCTCATAACAAACTACCACTGTGAAGACATGCACAAGCACAAGCTTATAGATTTCATCGTGCAGTTTATGGAGGTAAAAATTCTCTTCATCATCCTTTTTGAAATGATATCAGGTTACAACAATTGAAAATTAAAATATTAACAAGTGGCTAATCCACAGAAACAACTACTTTTCTTTTCTTCTTTTGCCAATAACATCTATCTTTGTGATATTCTAATCTCTAATTCTTCATGATGCAGGATATTGACAAGGAGATCAGTGAACTAAAACTGTCGGTAAACACAAGAGGACGCCTAGTAGCTACTGAATTTTTGAAGCAATTCATCTAAGGTGATGTTGCAAGAAAAAAACATGGTTGGACTAACAAAGCTCCGAATTGACAAAGATGATGAATATGCCCCATTATTATTGGTTGTGATGCAGTAGTATTATTTTGTTAATGAGCGATATTCTTTCGATACTGAATATTTATCACATGGACATTTGATACGCTATTATTATTGGTGTCACTGCAGAAGTCAGCCATTAGAACATCCCATCCATAAATTCTAGGTTGTTTGGTCTGATGCAAAATAGTCAAACCTGGCTCCATTTTCAATCTATGGTGAGCAAAAAGGTCAAAACAGAATCGAGAACAGGATCAGATGTGTGCCACCGATTTCTAGATTGCTTGCAAGCTGATCTTATTTATGGTCCTCCTTCCCATGTGTTTATTGTGCAATTTTTTGTGCCCTCAATTGGTCAATGCCAACATTATTGTGTCAGATGTGTTCAGCTTTACGTCACATTTCAACATATTTTGAAGTGTTCTGATTGGATTGATACGTACAGATTGGTACTTGTCAATTCGATCAAAAAGCTGAATTATATGGTTGGCATTCATCGTTTATAATTGTATTTAATTCCTAGAAAACAAGTTTCAATAAATCTAAAAATGCAAGTTAAAGTATTTTCAATAAAACCTAAAAATAGCTTCAAAACAACCCCACCAATGTAGGATTTAATTTTTTTTTTGCTTAAAAGTAAAAAAAATTATCTTTTTAGATTTTTTTATTATCATATATTTGAATACTTTTAGGTTTATTGTAAGCTTAATGATTGAGCCTTTTATAGAATCGACTGAGCTACATATTCTCCAAAATTTTTAATCTGGATTATTTTTCTCACATAATTCATCTTTCCCTCAGTAGCGCTCTGTTCTTACACTCAGTGACGAGATTTCCAGCACAGTGAAAGAGATCATCTTCATCCCTAATTACGTACCTTCAAACAAAGCTCCATTAGTAAGATAATAGCGACGACAGTTGTCCGCCAATTATTCCTGTAAAGGATGAGGATGAGTGAGGAAGCCGGCATCCGAAACGTCAAACGAGTCCGCCGTCTTGTCGTGTCAATTCCTTCCCCCGTCTCTTCTTCCACCGGTCACCACCCCCCTCCTTTCTGTTCGATCGTTTATTACTCGGATCTCGGTCGGAATTTCGTCCGTATCGCCTCCTCTAGAAGGCGATTCTGATCTTTCTTTAGGGTAGTCCAGTCCGTCTCCCTGGGTCCAAGATTGGTGAGAAGGAGAGATCTCAAGGCGTCGAGATGGAGGTGAGTGCTTTTGGCTTCATCCTGTAGCTTGTTTCTTGACGTTTCCTCGTTTTATCTTGCCTCCAGAATCCATGGGAAGTAAGGAACTCGTGATCTCAGTGATTGTTTTGTGTGCTTCGATGTCTTATTTGTCCAATTTTACTTTCTATGTTCGTATTTCAAGTAGTTTATTGGAGATTGTGGTTGTTGGAGTCTAATTGGGCTCTTGTTGTAGCCTCTGGACAGTGATGGTCGCTGTAGTTGAGGTGACAGTGTTGAAGGTTTTGTTTTTTATCCTTGTTATCGCTTCGAAGTCTCTGGTTTATTGTGATGATCGTATCCCTGTTTCTTGCAATTCATTAGTCAGCATAGGAATTCTGATGTCCCTTCTGTTGATTCCAGTGCTTGTTGAAGTTGATTGTTTTAGTATTTCCCTTCTTGATAATTTGAATTACATCTTAATATTCTGTATCCTCTTGGTGGACCATTGAGTAATTACCGACACAAGCTTTCAAGATTTGGTTCGAATGTTTGTGGCTGAACTTTTAATAGGCAGTTAATTCCATACATATATGAAATTTCTAGAATTTCTTTTCTCATGATTCCATTTTTCTAAAAGAACATATTCGCTTGCAGCTAAATTATGTTTAATCATGAGTTGAGGCATACATAGTCTCACAAATGCTGGCTTTTAGAATGCTTTTACTAATAAAAGTTGTAAATTTTACCTTTAAATTTTTGTTTTTTCCCTTTATCTTGATTCCATTTTTCTAAAAGAACATATTCGCTTGCAGCTAAATTATGTTTAATCATGAGTTGAGGCATACATAGTCTCACAAATGCTGGCTTTTAGAATGCTTTTACTAATAAAAGTTGTAAATTTTACCTTTAAATTTTTGTTTTTTCCCTTTATCTTATATTTTTCATCAATAACTTACTTTAGCAGGTTCTAGGAAAAAGATGTTAGTGAGATAGGAGGAAGTTGCAAGGCTACAAAGTCGATTTCTTGTGTCTTAACTGTTCCATCTTTCATTCCACTTTAATGAACCAAAACTCTTTGAACAATAATTTGTGGAGCTTTTGCAAGCTATATATGGTCAAATGTTCTTTTCAGACATATGGCCAATATCAAGTACATATAGCAATTGAAGGTTGAGCTCCCAATGTGAAACTATTTCCTGGACAGAAATATGTTCTGGGTTTGAAAGATAGGTCTGTATCTGCTTATTTGAAATGGGGAAGATCACATTATTAACCAGAAACATGAAGACATGACTTTGTGGTCAGGGCTCGTGATTTCTTCGGTTCCTTGATCATTTGAGAATTTCAAGTAGATTAGTGAAGGCATAGCTTACCAAATGAATGTACGGTCGTTGCATCTAAGATTGCCTGTTATTTTCATGACAATTGGTGCAACAAGGCAGATCTCAGCTGTCTGAAAAACCATGCTAACAAAAACAACCCATCTGCTGACCTATAGGTTCACCATTGAACTTGACATGATTGTTGTTAGGTTGGGGTCTGCCATGAATAAAAATATGGAAAAAAAAAAGTTGAGCATCAAATTCTCAGCGATCCATTATTTTGGTGTATAAAAGGAAAATGTCAATTGAGATTACTGGGGTGGTGTTGACTTTAGCCGGATGAGCAATTTCGACCACAGACCTATTTCCAAGCATGGCAGACTGCCGGTTGACAGCTACTACATGTGAGCAATGGTGACTTTAGATCACCAGAGTTAGGCAGTGGAGAGGCAAACAGCAATAAGGGGCAAGTTTTCACAGCCTGATCTTGGCCAATCAGAATTTAGGTAGTGAGACAATAGGGAGAGAGAGAGAGAGAGAGAGAGAGAGAGAGAGAGAGAGAGAGAGGCAGCTAACACTTATATATGCATAATTTTGCATTTAATTGCATGAAAACCTTGGTAGCATGTAGACCTTATAGCTTTTATTATAATTTATATCTAGAGAGAGAGAGAGAGAGAGAGGCAGCTAACACTTATATACACATAATTTTGCATTTAATTGCATGAAAACCTTGGTAACATGTAGACCTTATAGCTTTTATTATAATTTATATCTAGAGAGAGAGAGAGAGAGAGAGAGAGAGAGAGAGGCAGCTAACACATATTTACGCATAACTTTGCATTTAATTGCATGAAAACCTTGGTAGCATGTAGACCTTATAGCTTTTATTATAATTTATATCTATACTGTCTGATCATCCTACTTTCCAGATTTCGTGCTCAGTCTTCCATGAAGAGAAACAAAGAACCTAAGTTATTTTCTTTTTATGATTATGAAAAAAATTGTTATTCTCCTGATCAGTACTTTCGAATGTGACCTTTTGTATTCTATTGGTCATTCTTAATTAATTGGTATTACTTCCAGAGTGAGTATGGTCTAATTCAAAGTCATACATGAAGTATCAACATTTTCATCTACTGATCTTTGCCTGAGTTAGATTTCAGTACTGCAGCATAAAGGAGAACATCCACTTGCACATTCATCTTCTTTTCCCATAAAACAGCCGAAATCAACCTTCTTTTACTCACCTCTTTTTTATCTCTTTGGATATCCTTTGTAGATTTATGAGGTGATCATCTTAAGATTTGCAAGTTTTAGCTTGCTTGCTTCCCCCTAATGGGTAAAATTTCTTTCAGAAGCTTTTAAGTAACTTTTTTGTTCAAATGTAAAATACTGAAGATGCTTGTGCCTTTTATTGGCAATGTAACATGCGTAATGAACAGTTTGGCTTTCAATACGAGTAAAAAGTTGTTTCCTGTAAATTCACAAGGTTCCGTTTTGTTTCACCATAGCAACATGCCCATATTTCTAAACTTGGCAATGTGGAAAGTGATGGCAATGTTCATTACATACAGCATATTGAAGCTATTCACAAGCAGGGAAGTGAAGGGAAGGTAGTGACACCAAACAATCCTCATAAATTCCCTGAAGCATCAAATGCAAACTTGGAGGCCCCAAATCCCAACGATGAACCCCGCCGGCACACAGAGACACTTGTTCATCATGGTTCTGTGACACATAAACCCACCACAAAATCCCCTATTCATAGACATGGGTATCAGCCAAATTATGGTGATAAGAGGCCTGGCAGAATAAGCAGTGAATCTGAGAATAGCGTGGAGCGCTCTCCACTTCATCCCCGTTATCAAGTGAAAGCTGCAACTAGAGGTGGTGTTTCTTCTCCTTCCAGGGGTTCATCAGAAGGTAGCCATGCGGTTGCTTCAAATATTGCAGGTAGATCGAGAATGAGGACTGGTGGACGAGGCGATGAAACAGTAAGTCTTTTCTTCTAATGATCAATTTTTTTATAGCAAAAAGCCGACATGCAATCCTGTACAGATATATGTAGTATTGTTTTGGAACAGCCTGAGAAAGGATCATCTGTGCCAAGATTTGGTGAGTGGGATGAAAGCGATCCTTCGTCAGCTGATAATTTTACTGGCATATTTAACAAAGTGAGGGAGGAAAAAAAGAGTGGATCAGCTGCCATGGTGATCAATGATACAGTCTATGTCAATGACCAAGATCGTAGGAGTGGGTCCTTGGTAAGCTGCTTACTCTTGTTTATATGCTACAATAATGGATCTAAATCCTTAAGTGAAAGCTCCAAAAAGTCAATTGCCTAACTTTGTTGTTTTATTTAGTCTGAATTGTGGCTGTGAAAGATAACATGTAACGACTTGGCCATGACCCATCAACTTGTTTGGCCTAAACTATTGACCAAAATGTGAAATTGATTGTAGTTCACCTATCAGACCTTTGTAAATCTATCTTGGTCTTGCTTATTTTCAATGTAAGACTTATCAAGGTGTGGTGGCTCTATGCAATACTTTGACTCCATCCCCTTTCCTACTTGAGCTCTCTCATCATGCTAGAATGTTTAAACAAAAATTGATAGTAATATATCAATCAGACTTTTATAAGTTTGTCTAAATCTTCTTATCATAATATTTATTATTGTACTTGACTTGCATTCAGTGATACAAGAGGTGTTTGACACTTAGGTTTTCCTTTCTCCAAAGTTGTTGATTGTTTACTCTAGGTGAACTTTAGTGTCCTAAAACTTCCAGGAAAATGGGAGCATCTATTTTGGTTAATGCATATTAGTTATTGGGTTGATAAATTCTCTACTTAGATGTCACTTTCTCAAGATATTCAAAACTAGATCATGTCTTGGCTTTTAGATATTACAAAGTTATTGATCCAAGCTGCTATCTTTAGTTTTTTGTTAATTGTTTCATGAAACAATGAAATCCTTGATGACATTAATGATAAAAGAAATTTACTAACAAACAAATATGAGGGGCATAAATTGTTTTTTAGAGATGTTTACGGTCAACAGCTTTAACATGTGTTCATGACTAAATTACATATTACTATTTTGTTGCGACAGTTTGAATTTTTATTGTAAACAAAACAGTCTGATCTAACTATTATTTGCTTTCTTCTTTTTCTTCAACAGAATTGTTGCTTTGGATGGTGCAAAAAATAACCAGTTTTAAGATATGCCTGCAAACTGTAACTATTCTCAAGGAAGGCAACCATGATCTTCTGATCTATTTGGAATCGAATTTTCTTCTGTGGCAGTGTGCATTAGTAACTTAATGAATTCAAGAACATGTTCTTTGCAATTTGTCGTGTCATCGGTATCTCATTGTGACACTGTATAAGAGCATATTTCATATTTTTTTAAGTGTGATTTTAATATATTATGTCGTCAAATGCCTCCCGACAAACTTATTCTTTGTGATTGGGAATTGCAGTTATAGTTCTTGAGTGCAAATGAATTGAATTTTTCTTGATGCTAACATATTCTATGCATATTTAAGGGTTGAAAGTAAAGAAATGTTTTCACAGGCATTAGATCATAAAATCAGAAAGATAGATGGCTAATCTAAAATCATTATTGTGTGGAATGTTATTAGCTTCATAAAACCTCAATCAGAAATATTAATTGTATTAAACTTATATTTTTAAAAAAATAAAATCTTTACATAGGTTAACAATTTTTTGTTTATTTGTGGCATTTGAGGCTAGTCAGGAAATGTCTTTAAATTATGTAATGTTTTTTAAGATTGTGATTTGGGTAGCTTTGTTCTGATTTCCAACTGCTTCATTGATTTGTAAAGTAGAAAAATTGGTAGAGACATATATATATATATATATATATAAAAGCAGTTTCTAGAAGATATAAGAAAATTACTTACAACAACAATAATCCATTTGAACTCTTACAAGACAATATTATTAATTAAATTATGATCATTTAAACATTTTTTTTTGTAAACAAAGACTTCTTACCTCTTTTATTACCGATTTTGGTATTATTTTGTTAATACCAATCATCTCATCTCTATCTCTATGGATCATAACATTGAAAATGTATACCAAAAATGCCTCATTTTAGGTGATCTTTTAATTTTACCCCTTTTTTTCTCTCTCAATAAATCATCTCATAACACAAAAAAAAATCCAAAAATACCTCATTTAAGATGTTTATATAATTTTATCATGTTTTTTCTCTCTCCTAACCTTTTGATTACATTTGAAATGGATGATTTATCTTAAAAAAAACTTTTGACTTTTTAAAATGATACTTATTATTTTTTTATTTTTTTAAGATTATTAATATCTTTCGACAAAGATGACTATGATAGAACGAAAGCAATAGTACCTTGCGACGAGATGAAAGTTGCATAGCCTTACAAAGAGAAAGACGACGATCATAATAAGATCGACACTAACGAAAAGTATTTAGGATATTAGAGAAAGATAAAATATCAAATGAAAAAAAAAGATGAAAAATGAGAGTATCATAAAAAATAAAAAAAAAACTCAAAAAGAGGAGTTGTTTTCGAGCAAATCATTCTTTCGGAGTTTGTTTTTTGATAATTTATGAAATTTGAGGATATCATGAAATGAAGCAGCATTCGAACGTTGGAAATGGCAAGGAAGCGAGGGCCAAGGAAACCCTATCTCTCCCCCTCCATTACTCCCAAAGACCACGCGAGAAATACCAAACCCCGAACCCCATCCATGAATCCCTTCCACCCAATCCGAGCGCCCTATCCTCCCTTCCCCGCTCGCCATGGCGGCCCTGCCCACCTTCTCCTCCGCCTGCTCTCTTCCTCGGTCGCTCCCCGTCCCCCCCGCCCGCAGCAGGAGGTCCGGATTCCGCTGCGGATCCATCTTCGGTGATAACGAGGTACGCGAATCTGATCCCCTCCCTCGCCTGGATTGATCCAGCTGGTACTGTTTATTGAAACCAAGCGGCTTGTAGGATTACTATGTGGACGAGCCGGAATCGGCCGGGGATGGGTTCTTTTTCAGCGGAGGTTTGGGTTTCTGTTCCTTGGGAAGTTTATGCTTGAGGGTCTTGGAATTGTCTGAAAGTACATTCTGATTGAATGAGAGTCGATGCAGGAAAATACTCGGACGGGCCGAGCCGATCTGATGAATGGTTTGCTCAAGGAAAAATGGTATGCCCAAACTTTGTTCCGAGCTTTCTTGAAGATTGAAATTATTTGAAAAATAGGGTCTCGCGACATTTGCACAGTTGTATGTGAGTACATGTCCATCCTTACATATGTGAACATATGTCCGTCCTTGGTTTTTATATGTGATGGTGTACAATTATCAAATGATAATACAAATTTTCAGCTTCAATATCTAGGTAAAAGCTTATCCTGTGTATGGCGGAAAAGGGAAAGCAAAGGATCCAGTTTTTGGTCTTACTTTGGGTGCTGGTTCACAGTCTGAAGCAGACTTATTCAGGTGAATTCAGCAATCTGTGTGGTTTGAAGGCTATCAAAATGTATAAGCCTTGAATCCTGCTATTTTTGGGCCATAAGCCTCCATGTTAGGTGAAGTTTGGAATAAATGAGTTCTTTGGTTAAACCTCTGAAGGCTTTTTACCTTTCTTGCCTTAGATGGTTCTGTGTGGAAGCCGGAAGTTCCTTGAACCCTAAAGTTATTTTAGTTCATGGTTTTCCATCACAGGTGAGTTTCTATTCTGATTGATCTATTCAATTATTTAATATATGTGGACTTACTTCATGCATCAGCCGATTTATACTGCATGCACATAATACCCTGGTGAATATTTACCCTAGGTTTCAATTAGTGCTAAGAATCTTCTAAGAGGTATACTAAAAACACCAAGGAAAGACAGCAAGAACTGTAAGTTGACCTTTTAGTAACACGAAGGATTGTCTAATAAAGTAGTGTGTAGAGCATCCAACAGGCTAGTTGCTATTGGTAACTTTAGGAAACGGTTTTGAACAGCAAAATTTTGAAGTCGTGTTAAGTTCCATTTTGCTGCAATTTTAAGATTCTTAAGAGATCTGAATGATGTTATCTGGAAGTGGCCTATGACAGAGACATAATGGTTGCTTTGTTGTTGCCATGGACTTTATTATTAATATTGTTTGGTGGTGTCACGAACAAAAGTTATCAAGAAAAGAGAATCACTAGGCTTAAGATCTTCTTTCAGAAGGAAACAAGTCTGATGATCCATTATATTTGCATTCTGTACCCTGCAGGTTAACTTTTTCTGTCAAAAGGCATCTATAATTTCTTTCATATATCGTTTGCTTTTAAAAAACCATTGATGCTATTCGATGGACTGGTTGCTTTCACAAGACTGTCCTACCTTTTCGTACTATTATGGTTTGGTAACATTGAGAAATGAAGATGGTTTACCATATTTAGGCTTCTTAGGTAACGACATGGCACCTTAGCTAAACAAAATCTGAGAGCTTGTAAAGAGAGGATTGAGGATGGTAATTAAATGACTGAGAGTGTTGGTGTGGTTTAAAGGGGCTCACAAGTAGGTTTGAGATTAATGAAGGTTATGTCCAATAAGAACCAGTAAACTATAAAAAAGGATAGAATAAAGAAAGATATATGGTGCATTTATCGGGCCCCTTATGGAAGAAGATGAATGACCTCACAGCATATACATACTAGTTAAAACTCTTTCATCATGTTTTTTCATAAACTTCAACCACACTCTATTATATTAAGGGGTTACCTGTTACATAGGCTTACTAGAGTCTTGTGTAATTGGATTTTATTTTTTGTAGTAAAATTGATAACCATCTAAGATCTTATTAAAAAGACATCTAGATCCTTTAGATCTTCTTTGTGAAATCAAATTGTAATATTTGTAGACATGATAAATCTTCCAACCAATCTATACTCAAAACAGTACTCATAAATAAGAAAACAACTTTAAATAGAATTCTAAATACTTCCCAAAGCAGCCATTAAAATCAAGGATGAATACTTGTCTTACTATGCTAAAAATATAGAAGACAATAATTTCATCCAAGTTAAACACTATTGATGTTAAAACAAGGATGAATCCTTATTTTATTAGGCTAAAAATATAGAAATTAATTATTTAGTCCAACTTAAACTCTATTAGGGGCTCCAAATTCATTCAACTTGACATACTCAGAGCATGACAAAAAACCATATCCAAGCTATCATCTTAAAAGCACATGAATTTGTCCATGAGAGACTTTTGGTTCCTGCTTTTCTAGTTATTATGTTGCAAGCAATCTAAAATATTTAAGTCTCAACCCAGCACTTCCTTTTCCAAGCTCCAATTATAATGATCATAGGATTGTATTCTTCTGCAGAAAATTAGAAAATGACCATATCCATATGTCCAAGAGGAATAGAATTTTTTTTTCTGAAGTATAAAATAAAATATATTTTGCTACTACCTAATGTATGGCTCTTTTGTTAGAATATTAATTGCCATTGAGTAGGTTTAATTATCCATGGTCATTTGGAATTAAAATCTTGTTCAGTTTTTTCTTTTAATTTCTTCAGGAGTGACATTTTTTTCGTTTTTGCTGCTATTAACCTATCAAATTTGTAAAACTTTACTGTACCAACCTTGTCGTCTAGGAGCTTTATGAGCTTGATTTATGATTAACAGGCATACTCATATCGTAAAGTTCTTCCCGTGCTGTCTGAAGATCATCATGCCATTGCTTTTGATTGGCTTGGTACGCTACTGCAGATTCAAGTCCCTTGGAATTATTGTTGTAGGTTATACTTGCTTATCATATATTTAACCTTTAAAACAAAGGATCTGCATAGTTGTTCCTTCTCACAGCGTATACAACAACAGTTAACTTTCTGTTGCTATTACCTTTAGTATCCTACACACTTCCATTCATTGGAATCTACAAAATTATATTAAGTCCACTCCATATCCAACTAGAACTTGATTTTTTAAACATGAATGTAAGGATTAAATTTCACAGACCTGTTGGAGGTAGAAATCATATTGATGTAATGCATATTAATAACTTGTAGATTCTCAAGCAATTGAGACCTTTAATTAATGCCAGATATGACTGACAAATACTATCAGAAATAACAAAACTTCCTGTAGCAATATCTGTGTGTAACATATAATCTAAGTGATCATAAGTCAAACTGTCAAAGCATGACTTCACACTGAAGCAGATGAAACAAACGGATGTGTGGCATCAAGATAAAAAAGAACACATGTGGCAGAAGCAACTGCTAGTCTACGTGGCACCACTACATTGGATGCTAATACATCCCATCCGTTTATCAAGTGGCCTCTAGCCTAGGTTTGTGGTTCCACCCTTTAGGCTAAAAACTGTAGGAGGGGTCTCTGATGTGGAGTAAAAAATGACCGTCTTATCTAATTTGGTTTTGCTAGTCAGGACTTTCGACTCTATGCTGTTTAAGTTGACTG